CCCTTGTTGGATTCACTGGAACCTCTTTCATCATTTGTGACTGAAGCCTATTACCCATATAGTGCAAAATATAATCCATGACATCCCATTTTATGTGGCTGTAAGCTTTCTTGAGGTCTGTATTGCATACATCACATGGTTGACTAGGTCATTCCCTTGAACCAATGCACTCATTGGCAATTAACATACCATCTAGGATTTGTCATCCTTTTTCAAATGCACCTTGTGAAGAAACGATGGAGCCAATACCTGATTTGAGACAAGATGTCAAAACTTGTTCTGTGAGCATGTAGATACTCCCATTGAGGATGACTGAAGGCTAATCTAAATGGGAGAGTTTTATCTTGGACTGGGATTCATAGGTTGTTCAAAAACAAAATATATGATACGTTTTTTGTTAGTTACTCTTTTTGTAAATCAAAGGACTTAACTGTATATTCCCAATGTACAGATCCTTGGTGTACATGGGTTTTCTATCTCATTTTTTATAGAACATGCTTTACCTTTTAAAAGGATGGTAGGTCAGTAATCTCTTATTTTCTGCACCTTATCTAGCTTTAGAGTAATAGGGGTAGCATTTTCTGCCTTCAAGAACATGAAACCCCTCCACCACTTTAATGAATGTAGAACCCCATGGATGTTTCTTCCTTGTCTCACATATGGATTTCATGGACTGCAAGACTTGGTCATTATTATAGATCAAGAGATATCTCAATGTGACCTCTTTTGTTACCTTGGTTTGATAATCCATAACAAGGGAGAGATCAAAGAGGATGCCACCCATGGGAAGCTTGTAACTGATATTAATGAAACATTGCTTATTTATCAAAAAAAAAAAAAAAAAAAAGAGGATGCTACCCATAGAATTAGAATAGGATGGTCAAAATGGAGGGCTGCATCTCGAGTCCTATATGATACCACTTAGGCTAAAATGAAAATTTTAAAATGATTTTAAGACTGGAAATGCTATATGGACTGAGTTTTGCGCATCCACGAAACTACTTGCCCAAAAATCAAAGTAGCAGAAATGCAATTTTTTTTTTGAGAATGGTAAGGTATTATTTATTAAATAAAGAGAAAATAGTATAAACGGCGTACAACCAAGAGAAAACCATACTTCTTCAGACACAACACCTCCTAAAACCCAGCCCCTTAAAAACTGGACTAGGCTCTAGGAGAAAACAACAGTAGGAAAAAAGCACAAACAAAGGAAAGCCCTTATCCTAGCCTATCCATGAGAGGACTTCGCTTAGACTTAACCACTCCAACCAAGCATCATGCAATAGATGAGAGAGGCCCACAGTCCACCAGACCTCGCCATACAAGCCACACTCCATTAGAAACATGGACAAACTCTTCCTAAGGGTAGACTAGCAAGGCCTTGGTTCAAACCCACAGCCCAAGGACCTTCCTTTGCCTGGTCTTCCCCTCCTTTTAGAGCTTTGTGTGTGTTAGTGCACTTCCATTTTCTCACCTGTTGCCCTGTAGTGTTCTTTGCTTGTTTAGGGGGGACAGTGGAGCCTTGAGAAGTACTGTTGAGACTTGAGAGGAAGATCCTTGGCCCCTCTTCATTCTCTACAGGGGTCTCTGCCCACATGGAAGCAGGGCAGAGATAGAGGAGATCTAATATGGGAATAAGAAGCAAACTCTCCTTCCTTTTTTGTCATTTTGATAGAGGGGGATGGAGAAAATGGGCAAAATAGACTCATATTTCCCAGCATGCGAAGAAAGCAACAAGCAATGGAGTGAAGTGATGAAACAAGTGAGAAAACTACAGGATTGGTACCTAGCTGAAAAATTATTCTGCACTTCTGTTGCTTGGTAATCCTTAGGTGGTAGGTTTTGCATCACCACAACATAGAACTCCATGTTTCTAGATCTCTTACAACCTGGCAGGTGGTCCAAGCTGTCTGAAGAATACACCGAGTAAGTGCTGACCAACTTTGAGTCTTAATCTTGATTGTAGCTATATCCAAAGACTCAACATGAACCTTCATTGTTTCAAATTCCTTGGCCTTAAGCCACTTGCAGAGTTGATCTTCTTGACCATTTGCCAAAGTAAATCATCTGCTAACATTTGCAATTGTCATCCCAGTCAGGCAATGATGAAAAATTCCTCATGCTCTCGAAGACTGACCTCTAAGATGAAGACTGTGTTCATAAGACCCTACACTCGAACAATTGCGCTTCCTTATAGAATCCTAAATCTGCCATTAACATGCAAAATGTGATAGTGCTTACCTATCCTTTCTAGTTTTACCACCTCTATATGCATTCACATGCAAGTTCCTATTAAAATCACTAAATAGAACCAGAAATGAACTTATTCCAAAGAACACGGGAGTAGCTCCAATATCTATATCTATCTACTATTAAAAGTACGAATAAGCTTGTGAAACCTTTCTTCTTGATTAAAATACCCCTATTTTTGAATTGGGTCCCTCTCTAATTGTGAGGGCATAAATAGTAATGTGATCTACTACTTTTCACCTCATTCAATTCTCTCTCATTAAGTCTTATATTTAAGGTATTGACTCTTTGTCTAATTAAGACTATGCTTGGTGAATAAGTGGTTTGAGAAATAAGTACTTATTATTGTTTGGTGGTCCTTTCCTAAACAACTTACACTTATTTTAAGTACTTATTTGGGATATAGTGTTTTTGTGAGCCACCTAACAAATAAGTACTTATTTTTGCTGAAATGACAATTATAACCCCAAATTAATGCATATAAATGTTATTTTATGAATATTGAATTGAACCATTTTGATGAAATTGGCAACTCTAACCCTCATGACACACATGGGCCCACATGTCACGCACATGGCACTATTTTATGATATATTTTATATAAGAAAATACAAAAAATAACTAAACAAATCTTATAATAATAATAATAATAATTTGACAATAATAATATGCTAAAATAAATTAATAATAAAAATACTAATATCATAGAAAAAAACCACCAAATTCGGATTATCATTCCATTCATGAAGAAAAAATATACCAATATTTTTGCCAAAATGAAATTCAGATTAATATTCCAATAATAACAAATAATGTTTTTCTTTCTATATAATCACAGAAAAGATTGCAATCAATAAAATCACTAAAAAAATAAAATGTTAACAACTTTTTGTACAAGAAAATTTCAGGTATTATCATTTTCATTCACATTGGTATGTAAGAAAAATACAAAAATGTTTAAACAATTCATAAATAGCTAGGACAATTAAAAAAAGTGCAGAACTCACCAAACCTGGAATCGATGCCGACTAGGTGGTTAGATGTCTTCCCAATTGCAGATCTGGTGAAAAAATGGCACAAGAATGGGTTTTCAACCCAAAAAACCAGAGAAATGCCCAAAACGACCAACAAAATGTAGAAGAATATGTGAGGATTTCACATTCCTGGAAACAAAAGCCAATGGGAGCTCACCGGTCATCCCTGGTTGCACACTGCCACCGCTGCTGCAAGCTTCTTGCGCAAAAGTGAAGATGATAGAGTTGTCTCTATCCACGGGGGCATATGCGGTCATTTGTGAACTTCTATGGGGAAATTTTTGTCCCATGAAACAGGAATAAGCACTTATTCCTGTTGGCTTTTTATTAAGCAGTTTTTTGAAAATAAGCATTAATTATGGGCTTTTTTTCCAAACATAAGTGCTTATTTTCCACTTATTGTGTGGTCCCACCACTTATTTTAAGTACTTATTCAAATAATTACTTAGAGAAGTGGCATTGGAGATATAATGAGTTGGTTTTGTTGAGGGTAGTTAGTCATGCTAAATATGATCAAAGGGGAGATAACTTGGACACAGGTGATGCTACTCTTACTTATGGGTGTGCCTTGTGGAAAGGAATTCAGATTGCTAAACCAGATTTTTTAAAGGGGATCAGATATAAAATCAGGGATGGAACAAGGGTAAGATTTTGGGATGACCTCTGGTGTGGTGAGACTGGTTGGAGGAGGCATACCCTTGTTTATTTGATATAGCTCAGAACAAAGAAGCTATGGTGGTGGACTTGTCATTTCATAATGGTACAACAGTGTGGTATCCTACTTTTAGGAGGAATCTAAACGACTAGGAGGTGGAGCAAATGACTGACCTTTTACAAAAGTTATACAGACATAACCCAAGCAGATCAGGGGATGCTGATAAAATAGAATGGAGATGGTGCAAGGACTGTTTTTCTGTTAAGTCCTTTTATAGCATACTGGTGGAGAGGGGGGGGAGTAAGTTCTGTTGGGAAGGTATATGGTGTACAGTCACTCCAATGAAGGTTTCTTTTCTGGTGTGGATAACCTCTCTTAGCAGATGTCTGACCAGAGATAATTTGTTGAAGAGGGGTTGTCTAATTGATAGCATTAACTGTATCTGTGATGAGGAAGTGAAATCAGTTGATCGTTTATTTTTGCACTGTTTGTTTGTTAGAAGGTTGTGGTCCAAAGTTTTGGACATTTTTGGGCTTCATATTTGCTTTTTGAAATCTGTGGTGGAGCTTTTAACTTGTTGGCAGTTGAAGGGTTTGAGCAAAAAAGGAAAAGTAGTATGGAGAGTGCTGCCTTTGGCAATTTTTTGGACCATGTGGATGGAAAGAAATGTCAGAATTTTTGAAGATATTGGTAAAACATAAGAGGCAATTGTAAAGGAACTGCGGGGTAGAATTCATTATTGGGCTGCAGTGCAGGGATGTTTTATGGATATACCATACAGCTCTTTTTTGAATGCTGATTTGCAATTTTGTAATGTTTAATCAATGCTTTTTGTACATGTGGAGGTAGTAATTTTACAGCTCCTTGCTGTGTAGGTGTGGGGGTGTATCTTTTTTGTTATTAATAAATAATTTAAAAAAACTGAAATTACCTTATCATGTCTGCTAGAGTTTTGTACTACCAAATTTGTTCCTCAGTATGTTAAATGTTTCTAAGACTTGTTTTATTTAACTATGAGTTTGTTGATCAATTTAAGATAAAACCTTATATATTATTTGCAGATTCTTGGCAACTCTGGGCTGAAGATGGAAGTTGAAGTTCCTGTGGATTAATAAGATAATGATACTGTTGTTTCAGTTGTGTTAGAATGTGAGTGCATACTTCTTTCTGTTCACACTTGTAAGAAACACAAGAAATGTTCTACGTTCTCTGCTTTTGTGTCTGCTTCTTTGTGATGCTGGAAATGTGGCCTTCATTGTACACACTGAGAGATTAGCTAATATGTTGTTGCTTGCAGAATGTCTTTTATAAACTCTTCAACCTTGGAGAGCATAGGATGCTGAGGTATTTGTTAATTGCTGCATAGATGTTTGCTAGTTGCCTGGTAACCATCAAACTGCATTTGTGTTTGTAATCTATATGGTTCAAAGAGTGGGTCACTTTCTAGTCAAATAAAGTTGATTATCCTAACAATTTAGCTGTTCTTTTAATGCAAATTTTCTTTAAGTTAGTCAACATTCCATGGTGATGCACCATTACTTTCATTTTTGTTTCTATCTGAACAGTGATGATTTTGGTATAGGTTCGATCAAGAAATATTCCACCAAATTGTATGTTCTGTACTTGTGGCTTTGCAGTTTATCTTGTAAATTTTTTCAAGAAAAGCGGGTTGGATCTCTGACCATCATATCTGCTACCCCAGTCTATTTCATACAATTGGATGATTTATACCATAAGATCCAATTGGAAGATTAATTGATTTCTTACAAGAATTTTATAGATTGGGTGATTTTGATATCTGATTCATGTAATTTTGGTGAAAATGATCATTTTTAGCACTCAATTTGCCATTCCATATAGATCAATCTGGTTGATTTACTGTTATTATGTTCCTGCGGTTTAAGTGGGAAGACTTACTGGTTTATTAATATTTAAAATGTTATTTAAGTTCAATTATTACATTTCATGCACTCGTTCCAACTGTTCTCTTCATGGCTTCATGCTACTGCCTTGATTCTTGGGTTATAGTCCTAAAATATTTGCCATCTCTCCCAAAGCGCCCCAACTATTTTATCCTTTTTTTTTGTTGGGCTCCTTGCAAACAATTAATGTAAGAGATCCTTCAAGCCTCTTCAAATCTAAATCTTCATCCTAGATGAGATAGACTAGGTCGTATTTGAGTTTTCTTGCAAGCAATTCACACTTCATTTATGCCTTATTATATGGAAAGAATGCTTCTGTTCAGAAGACCTATATCCGCATCAAATTGAGTGGTGGAGGCACCAACATGGGAATATCTCTTCCATGTTCCATGTGCCTGGATGTCCTATCTCATTTCCGGTTTAACATAGAAACGTGTTTCTATGTCAAATGAAAATCTTAAGTTGTTATCCTTTAGGCTGTGTTTGTTTTTATAGAATTAAGAGAGAAACAAAAAGTTGAGAAAAAAGTCTTTTAGTATCTGTTTGTTTTAGTTGGAATCAGAATTGGAATGGTTTATTCCTCTTGGTTCTCATTTCCAAGGGAGGGGGAGGGAATGGGCCATTCTCCCAATCCTCAAGGAATGAAAATGGGGTTCTGATTCTGTTCAACCAAACAGTTGGGACCATTCTGATTCTGATTCTGATTCTAGACCCTTATTACTGTGAACCGAAGGGACCCTTACAGTTTACAGTTATTCTGGTTTTGCTGAGTAATGGTTTTTCCAGTCTCAAGCAGGTTAACATCCTATGGTTTTTACCCCGCTTTTATGGCTTCCTAGTTCTGCAAGTAAGGAATAAATAAACAATTTTCCTGATAAAACTAAACAAATGAAAGGGAACAATTTGGGCACATTTAAGTTTAAACGTGGTGGTGCTTGTCATCCCGAATCCTCTACTTTTAAAGTTGCTGAAAGCCTGAAACTGCGACGTTGTATTAAGCATTAATCAAGAAGGTGCTTGTTTGCATGGCCTGGCTGCCGTTTCATGGCTTTGCAATTTGCATTGCATGAAAATGCAGCAAAACTCTTGCAATTTGAGAGAAATGGGAGCGAAATTTTGGACGAACAGAAGAGTAAGTGAACAAAATGGGCGGGTTGCTTTTCAAGACTGAGAGTGGGAATTTTGTCAATAATGTGGAGTGTGAGTGCCAGTGGTAGTGGATTCCATTATCCGATCTAATCTAAGATACAGAAAAGCTCATTCCCATGTTAGAGACCCAATGGAAAAGCCAACTTCGAGTGCTTTAATTGTGTGCTCGACAATTAACAAATGGGGTGGGGGAGTGGGTTTGGCGGGAAAACTGTAAAAGCTAGTGATTGGTCTCCGTAGAGTTCATAAGTTTGTCCAAGAAATTGTTTACTATAAAGCTGGTACTGAGTATCGACCAAAGATTCTGTGTTTCTGACCCATTTGTTGGCCATTCTGGGACATTTCTATTTAACAATTCAAACCATGCTCGCAATCACAACGGTCGAGATTCAGGAATAAAAAAGATTCTGATTGCTTGTAGCTCTGACATCCGGGTCCCTTTGTTGAAGCTTTGGTTGAGCTGCTTTTGGAGAAGCCATACAAAAAAAAGCTTCAACGGAAATTTCTCTCTTTTTTACCTCAAGGACAAAATAATGGGCTTTTCAGATTTTTCACCATATAGGTAAACATTGCTCATATGCTGTCTGGTGGGGCCCATATGCAAGCCAAAAACTGCCATGGGAAAGCTCTAGCTTTAATCTCTCTCTTAATCTTAATTTTAGCCAGCTAGGTTTTTTTTGCTGTACCAAGATTTCAGTTAATATACCATTGATGTGTACTGTAAATTGGTGTTAATAAATCATTTACTGGATTCAAACCATCCTAAGTGAATCACTGGAGCTTTTTTTGAATACATGAACTCTAAAAATTAACCAAAATCAAGCGTCATTTCTCTCTGATTTTCTCTCTATTGAATATATGAACTGTACTGATATTCAATACCAAACATCACCACCATCTCTGATTTTCTCACAATTGAATATATGAATTCTGTCATTAGCCAAAACCTAACTAACCACTACCTCTGCTTTCCTCTCTGGTTTACCACTGTTTCGCTACTGCTTACTCATTACTTCCATCTGTTCACATGCTTTCCCCATCTCTTCCAGACTCGTCATCAAATTGGCCTCTTAAAATCATCAGTTAATTTCATCCACTCTCTTATTCTCTATCTTCATTGCCCATGCATCATTACTTGTTTAGCCTTTCTTTCATTGCCTGTCCACTTCTACCCTCAGCCTAAACTGTCTTTGATTTTCTCTCTAAATCACCACTTCCAACACTGATATCTATTCATTGCTCCAGTCACCTCCTCAGTCAATTAATCCCAACAGTCATAATGATGTACTAAACTTCAGCCACCACTACCTTCCTTGCAGGTTCCTTCACTCTCTCTCCTCTGCTACCAGTGTTCAAAAGGAAACACCCTGAATTTGTCTCTTAATAATGTTACAGACAAACTGTCCTATAAAGCAAGACAATGGTATTTCAACATTTAAATAATGGTGCAGAGTTTTTTAGTAATTGCCTAGGGTGTGTTGGGTATAATCCTTTTCAAGAACACAGAACTGGAACATTTCATCTCATTGCACAAACTCATTAAACCTAAAAAATTAAAAATTCTCATCACAGTACTACATATCTCATTGCTCATTTGAACAAAAGAGAATAGAGGATCAATAGTGTAGGTCCCACCACTTGAATGGTTGAGATCATTTGCTTGAATCACTGAGTTCGGATATGGATCTCTCTATCTGATGTCTTCATAAGCAACAAAGTCCAAGATTCCAGATGCGGATGCATCATGTGATGGAAGTAAAAGGCTAAAAGCAGAAGACCACTAAAACAAGTTATTTGTTCTGTTTTCAACACCTTAATGACTGGGGAACAACTTTGGGGTTTATTTATTGATTAATAAGCCGACACTAATGATGCTTCCTTTCCCCAATTCTCCCTTTGCCACGTGGCGCCATTTATGAGGTCTGGTCGGAATGGTCGGTTAAAAATGGCCCCCACAACATTATCCGAGAAAAAGAACCGATTGTATTAAGATACAAAAGTACCCTTCTCCATATTTTCACCTTTTTTTCATAGTGAATAGATTTTAGCTACTGATACTAGCCACGTGGCAAATAACATGCTTATTGAGAGAAGGATATAAAAAAGAATAAAATAAATTGTAATGGGTATAGGTGGAAGGAAGAGGGAGTCAAACTCATCAAAAAAAAAAGGAAGAGGGAGTCAACCTAAAAATTCTCTCTTTTTATTTAATAGAAAACGCCAGATTTATCAAAAGCGAAGATTAGCCGTTGTGCTTCTTAATAACGACTTTTTGAAAAAAAAATTGAAGATTCAATAAAGAAAAGTGGGATAACGGGTAGAAGGAAATGAAAAAGAAGCAACGCCCATGGGATCATGGGTGTGCTTTAATTATTATTATTGAACAGAAAAGAATCCGTTATCTTGCTTAAGATATGGATGCATTCTGCATCCGACACTTCTCAGATCAATTCTAGGGTTTAATAAAGAAATATTAATTATTATAATTGTGGGTTTGTTTTATCCAGGTAGAATTCCCATTCTAAGAAGCTTCGTTCCCTGTCATTGGAAGTGAGAAACCTACGTAGTTTTTTGTTGGTTTCTTTGGTTTTGTTTTCTTCTTGATCGGAACCCTCCTGAAAGACAAGAAAGGAAAGTGAGCAATCTTTATGTAAACTGATGCATTTGTATTCTACTGGGTTTACTTTCTCTTTCTGTTTCCTCTTTTATTTTCTTGTAATAATGTTGACCGTTAAGAGTCTTTTTCTCAAGAGATTTTAAGGGTTTCTTTTTGTTTATGCTGTCTTGGCTTTGTTGATTACGCCCAAGTATCTAATTGTTGGCTGGGGGAGGCTTTGGAGTGAAGTTGACGCTTGACATTGAAGGTTATATACGCTTTGATTTTGTGAGTTGAAGCTGTTTTTGAGAGAGAGAGAGAGAGAGAGAGAGAGAGAGGCTCGTAGCTGTTCACAGTGTATTTCTTCTCATTTGGGTCTTTCTCTGGGTATCTCCGCATCTATAAGGTAAACCGACTTCTTGGGTTCTTGTTCTTCCTTTTCTCCCTTCGTTTTATGGTTATTGAAGATTTTTAATTTTACACCTTAGCACCTACCAAGGAGATATGCACAATACTATCTTGATTAGGATGGCTCATGGCTGGTGATGGACTTTCAGATTCAGAATTTTCTTTTGGCACCTTGAGATGTAATCCACCTGGTTTTCAGTATTATTGATTATTGTTTTTAAAATTCTACTTCTTGGCACCTATCAAGAAAATCATTTAGTGCTATTTTTAATTAGGAAGAACAGATGGTAGGGTAGTACCTTTTCTGATTTCTATGGTTTTTGTCCTTGTTTTGCTTTTCCAATTTCTTCCCTCTGCTTTGGGCACCATGAGATGTTGTCAATTTGGTTTTTATTAATCTTTCCATAAGATTTTTGTGTTTTCAAACTTCTGATATTGGTAATGCATGTTGCTATTTCTCAGTTGGGTTTGCATACAGATTGGGAAATATTATTCTTCATCAAGTGCAGTTTAAGTTTGGTTACTTCTCATCGTGAGTTTCGTTGGGAATGGCCGAAACTGAGAGTATAGCTCTCAAAGAAGCGCTTCTTACCCAACAACAGCTTCTTCATAAACTGACTACAGAATTGGAGGAGGAAAGAGAAGCCTCAGCCACAGCTGCTACTGAAGCTTTATCCATGATATTGCGTCTACAAGGAGAAAAGGCAGCTGAAAAGATGGAAGCAAGTCAATACAAGAGAATGGCAGAGGAAAAGATTAACCATGCTGAGGAATCTCTGGCTATTTTTGAGGAGCTCATATTTCAGAAAGAAATGGAGATTGCTTCACTTGAGTTCCAAGTTCAGGCTTACAAGAACAAACTACAGAGTGTGGGTCTAAATGATTCATATATTGGGCAGCTGAATAATCAGTTTGTGCGTAGAAATGAAGCCTATTTCAAGGATATTGGTGTTCATCAGTCTGTAAAAAAGAACAATTCTCTCCCTGCAGCTCAACATAAAGATTCATGTTCTAAGAAGGGTATTGTAGGAGAAGATGGGTCTGCACTTTTGCTTCAAGAATTGATTCCAAGGACAATTGATAAACTGGATTTTGAGTCTGATATTCTGGACAATGAGATGCATAAGGTGTCTGAAGAATCTGCTGTTGCAGACCATGATTCATACTGGAAACAAATCGAATGGTTGGATAAACAAGTTGACTTACCTCATAATAAAGACATTGGTATAGGAAGTGATCCACTAAAATCCATGGAGGTTAAGTTGAATGTTGGAAGTACACTCTCACTTTCAAGTTCTCAGGTTGGAAGTCCCAAGAATATATTTGAGCTTGATGCATCTGATGTTCCATGCTTGGAGACAAAAAATATTAGAAGTACATCTTTCACAAAAAGTGTCCATGATATATTTGAAGTCCCACAAAGTCATGAAAATTACAAACACTCTGGATCAAAGAAAGAAGAATGGCAAACATTCATCCACTATGGTGAGACCAGGCTTGGAAAGGCAGATTCAGTCCCACAGGGAACTTCAGATTGCTATTTAGAAGACAAAGCCAAGTGTGCAAAGAATGTTCTGCCCTATGCAAAGCATGAGAGCATGTTTTTTAAACAAACAAATGAGGTTAAACATGACTCCTTTTCTGTGGCTCCTCCTGTTGATATTACTCTATTGCAATCTGAGGTTTGGCAGCTTAGTAAACGATTAGAGTTACTTTTGAATGATAGAAGTATTAAGCAAGAAGCCTCTAATCGAAGGGAAGAGGAACTGAATATGTTAAAGGAGATTCATGAAAAGATCAATGTGGTAAACTCTGACCGAAGGAATAGGCAGTTGCCTCCACTTGATGAATCTCCAGTATGTTCTGTCACTGAGGTATATCTTATTGGTTATGTTTCAATACCATTATTTTGATTCCATGATAGTTTCTACCAGGTTAACTTGATTTTCTACTTATTTATGTGTTCTTGAAAAGACTTTTTCTATGGATGTTTGCAGATTTTCCAAACATGGATGTGTAGAGTTTGCACTGTTTGTACTGGACGATTAGCATGAGTTAATTGTTTAATACTTTGTTGGATATCAGTTTGATACAATGATTTTGTAATATGGATTATTTGGATTTGGTGCAACTGTTTCAAATGTTACTGCCTCAAGAAAGATCAACTGAGCTTCATGCAACATCAGTTCCAGAAGTGCTGCTGTATGTTTATTTCAACAGAGTACTAGAAATTACAAAAAGTTGGGAAAGAACATCTTTGGCTTTCAAGAAGTGGCATGAACTAATGGAAACGACTATGGTTGGGATATATTTATTTATTTTTTGTGACACAAAATGTATACTATGCAAGAATACTTTAATGTACTTGAAAAACCATATTATATGTCAAGTGTCTTTTCATGGAATTGTATGCAAGAATTGCTTTCTTCATTTGGCATCTACATCCTATTACTTAGCTCATACGGAAACTTCTTTGGCTTTCAAGATGCTTTGATATGCATATTACTCTCTCAACCTCACAAAGGAAATATTTTCTTAGTTTTCACCCACTACAAGAAAATATGCCTATGGTGGCATTTTTTTATAGAGGGGTTTCACATAACGCCACAATATAGGCATTTTCTAGCAGTAGTTGTTGAGAACTGCTACTAGAAATGCCACAATTTCTCTCCCATCCGTGCCTGCTCATTTTCTTTCTCTCCAGTGAACTTCCCCACTGAAACTCTTTCTCCTTTCTCCTGGAATTGGTGATTGAAAAATCTAGGGCTTCTTTGGCTCATTCTTCATCTTTGGAATTCAGGTGTCACTTATAAATCTCAGGTATCCCTCTCTCTTTCTCTTGATCAGTAGCACTGCAACTGGTGAGCTCTAACTCTTCATCTTTTTTCGAGATCTCAAAATGAGAGAGCTCAATGGATATATAGGTGCTTCACCAGTTCCATTTTTTTTTTCTTTTTTGCCATCTTTCTTCTTTTTTTACCAATTTCCATTCACCCTTAATCCATGCAGTTTGGAAACACCGACACCTCGGCTATTTGGCGTCAGATCCCAGCAGCTTTGGTTCCCAGGTTTTATCCATCGAGCACAATGGCATAGTGAATACTCTAATGGTTATTTCATTCTGTAAGGTGGGTAAATCGAGCTTGTTCTCAAGGAGTTCTGTTTGAAGAAGTAAAGTCTTATTTGAATTGTCACTTTGTTGGTTTTGCTGTCAGGCAAGAATTCTCATTTTCTTGGTGTTTCTGATGTGGATGGTGGGTATGTTAGCATTTATGACATGTCAAAAACTTCTGTCTTTAACCTCTTGTCGAGAAAATGCAGATATATTGCTATCTTGATTTCCTAGCCTCATCTATCTCTTTAGTTACTCGTATCTTACTTTCATTTTCATTCCTTGCAACATTTGAAGTGCAACATTACTTTTAATTTGGTTTCATATGAAGCTAGAGTTTGCGATTGGGTTGCACATTCTAATGCCATTTCCGATGTGCGTTGTGTCACAGTACTTCAAACTCTCTCTATCCTCCTGTTATAAATTTTGATTCATTGTTATGCTTTACACTGTTTAGTTGTTATTTCTTGGTTGATTACTCTATGTTAAGATGGTTGATCTTTTCAAAGTTGAAAGCATGATTTCTTACTGTAACATTCATTTTTGAAAACTTGAAAGTACTGATAACAAATATTGATTTTTTTTTTTTATATAATTGTTACTGTATTTGTTATGGTATGTCAACAACTAAAATTAGCATGGGTACCGAGTTTCTTGTTTGCTTCCTTGCAATTGAATCTTCTCCAAGGGTACCATCTTATTACTTGAGATGAATCCATGGATTTATTGGTTAATACCTGTTGGCCAAAAAGTTCTATCCAATGCAGACTATATTTTTCTATTAAAAAAAATTGTTTCGTTAAGATGGGCAAGACATTTCTATCACCATAGATCTTCACTTTTTTGAATTTAAGAAAACAAAAGTAATGGGATTATTTGCAGGGTTTGGTAAGTGACCACCTGCAGGTTTCCTCTTGTGTGGTCATTTTAATGACAGATTTTGGTGTCTCTGTTACTAATCTGTTGTGTTTTATGTTTTGGCAGGATGATAGCCCCATTGTGATAACTTTAGGAGATCAGTCAATAAGCTACTCTAACTTCTTTGAAAGAATTGTTAATCTAATTAGCATGTGTCAACCCTCTGATCTGATGTAATCTGGTTGAAACTCATTTGAGTAAGGCTTAATTGGTTTTAGTTCTTAGGTTAGGTCAGTTCCCCAAAATGGAAAATGGATGATCTAGTTCAAGACTAAATGTGTGTTTTAAGCAAGGTTAGAGGTATAGTATCCAACATTTCATCTTGATTCACACAACCTCTCTACATGTTGTCTGATTCATCTTCTGGTACAATGTGTTTTCTAATATGTAAAGCCTTGTTTTTATTATATTAGTGATATAATTACATTATTACCCTTGAGACAAAAGACAATGTCTAACACAAGAAACAACAAAGAAATAAAAGCAAAAAGACCAAACTAACCCTATGACCAGCTTTATAACTCAAGAAATACTTGATGTGCTTTTTTCGGTTTTATATGTATCAGAACAATTAATTCAACATATATATATGTATGTATGTATGTATGTATGTTCCCAAAATTTTCTACAATTTTCCCAAATGTTTTCTACATAATATATATATATATATATATATATATATATATATATATATATTTGTATATTTTTGTGTTTTTATATTTTTAAAATTTTATTATTTAATTATAACTTCACAAGTTGACACATTTGACCCAAAATACTAAATTGATCTACCACCAAACAGGAAACGATTTCCCTTTGGGGTTAATTTTGAATTTTGAATTTTGTATTTTGTATTTTATTTATATCATCAATAAAAAATTAAGAACAATTCTCATTTATCGTGTCTAACTTTTAATATGATTAATTTAAAATATTAGTGATATGTCCAAATGTTTTCTATAGTGTTTCTATCTTTTTCATTTTTTGTATTTTTATCTTTTTTTTAATTTTTATTATTTATTTATGAAATCAATGGTTGACACATATGACACTTATTTTAATTTTTATTTATTTATCACACTTATTTTTCTTTAATATGATTAATATAAAATATTAGATAGGTGCCTAAATCTTGTTTACAATTTTTTTGTATTATTACATAATGCTTTTGTATTTTTATATCATTCCATTTTAATTATGATATCAAGGGTTGTATTGGTTTTAAATTTATATTTTATTCCAAAATCAATAAGAATAATTATTATTTATCAAACTTTTTCTTTAATGTGATTAGTATCTATCTATCTATCTATCTATCTATCTATCTATCTATATATATATAACATTAGAGATGTGCCCAAATTTTCTATATTTTTTTTTTATATTTTAAAAGATTTTTATTTAATTATGATGTCATGGACTAGCCCACTTGACTTGGATAATTGAAATGTTTACTTGCCACCACGATGGAAAAACAGTTCCATTTTTGCGTAAATTTTAAAAATCATTTATTTTATATTATTAAAAGTATTGGATGTAGATCTAATTGATAGAATTTATTTGTTTTTATTTTATGAAATAAATATCTTAAATATAGGATTCAATAAAAAAATGAGAGTTTGTTGAGGGGAATAATATTTGGAGCAGTAGGATAGCTTAGTATTTCCATTCTTTTAGTAAGGGCACTCCTGTCCAAAATTTATCATAAACAGGGGTATTTTTGTAAGCACATTTTATTTACACTAATATAAGTAGTGGGCTGAGGACTTCTAGACTATTCTCTATTCAGTTTTGATGTAGTTGTCTTCTTTCAGTCTTCTCCGTTCTCTTTCTCTTCCTCTTCATTCTATACGTTCTCCTTTTTTTCTTTTCTTTTATTTCTGGTTGCTGCCTCATTACTGATTGACAGTGATTACCATGTTTTTCATGGTATCGGAGCAGGTGAAGTGATTAGGGATTTTTTTCTTCTTTCCTCCCTAATTGATTGATTTTTTTTTTTCTCTTCTAAGCGTGCTGCAACTATTGTTAGTGATTGGAGTTGAAACCAGATAGATTTCTGGGTGATTTGTGATGGTCTATACCATCACAGCTGCTGTGGAAAGTGACTGGTGATGTGCGTGACCCTCTAGTGGAATCAAACCAAGAGGGAATCCATCGTTTCAATGGAAAAACTGAATCTGGACTGTGTACAAGTTGTGAGCTGATTGAATAGTGATGCCAAGACAAGTATTTCAAATCGTGAAGTGAAAGGTGCTGTCTTTTTATAATTGTGAGAGTGACAAGGTTGGTATTTTCATCCCTTATTTTCTTTCAGCAGTTTTGTTAGGTCAAAATAACCTTTGGAAGTGTGTGTAACTTTGATTGAAGTTAAGTAAGATACAATGGAGTCTAAGGCAACTGTTATGATACCTACAAACTTTATGTTAACCACCATTAAGTTGAATGGAAGTGGAAACTATGCTACTTGGGCTAAATCTATAGAAGTTTCTCTCACAGCCAATGGAAAACTTAAGTATCTTACTGATAATAAACCAGGGACTGAAAACTCAAAGTACTCAAGTGGATACAACAAGATGCACAAATTAAGACTTGGTTGTGGAATTCCATAAAGACCAAAATCATCAGCACACTTATTTTTCTGGATACGTCTAAACAGATTTGGGATCAAGTGAAGAGGATGTATTCGGGTAGCAATAATATCACGCGGATATATCAGTTGTTTCAATCATTTATAAGTTTACAGCCGGGAGGTAAGTCTCTTGAAAATTATTATTCTGATATGGTGAATATTTGTGAAGAATTAAACATTTACTAGCCTGTCACTAGTGATATCACAATTATGGAAAAGTAGAGGAAAGAGTTAAGTTTTACTAAATTTCTCTCAGTCATTAAACTTGAATATATATTAGTACGAGTCCAAATTCTTGGGAGTCCATAATTACCTGATTTAGAGGTTGTGTTCTGTAGACTTCAAAGGGCTAGGTTATCTGAATCTATTCCTTTATCTGATCGTGCTGCCCTTGTTACTTCTGGAAGTGGTGGTTGATGTGTACATGGGGAGGACGTGGCCCATTTGGATCATATGGTGGGAGAGGTGATATTGGAGGTAGAGGTGGTTGTGGTCGTGGATGGAATACAACTACTAGATTTTGCACTCACTGTGTGTTAGAAGGTTACATCATTGCATACTGTAGAGACTTGTATGGAGTTCGATTTTGTTCACACTGCCATCATGAGGGCCATACACTCAAGTATTTCTGTTTGTTGAAGAAAACGAGGAGTTATGAAAATCAAACCATTTATCATGATGGAATGACTAATACATCTTTACAGACTATTGCTACTAATAATCAGCTAGATGGGAAAACTATGACCATCTCAAAGGAAGAGTATAATAGATTGATTGCAGCTACATCTTCATCCACTTCTACTCTTGCTTAAACATCAGGTACTAGCTCCACTTGCCTTCTTTCTACCACATCTCCATGGGTCAATGACTCGGGAGCTACCGACCACATGACAAGTACTCCATCTGCTTTTACCCAGTTTCGTTCTTTACCTTCTTCTACACAACATGCCATCCTTCCCAAAGGATGCACATCCCCAATTTCTGGAATTGCAAGTATCAGTCCAACTTCACAACTTCCTTTATCTTCTGTACTTTATGTTCCTTAATTTCCTTTAATCTTATGTATGTGAATAAATACCCAAAAAGTACCGTAGTGCACCAAGATTTTTCACCTCAAACTCTTGATGAAGGAGCTGTTTGAGGGACTCAATCTCATGACTTTCATTTCCTGTCACCATAATATCATCAACATATACTGCAAGTAGTGTCAGAGAGGACTCCACCCT